TTTCCCATTTCCAGCAGACCTCACTACCTCTGAGGATGCTTGCCATAGATGCAGGCGAAACGTCAGGAGAAACATGGCCATATAGTCCTCTAGAACATGGCCATATAGTCCGAAAAAACCCACAAGAACTGAGTGATTCCAGCCATGAAAGCCTTCGACAATATCTGTGGAATGACCAGGGTGAGACAAAGGACTTTTGTCTGCTGGGGCTAGCTGTGAATGTTTCAGCTGATCACCTTGATCTGCATTCAATGGCTTGGTAACGCCTGGGGGGAATCTTTTGTTGAGGGTGATTTCATGCCATATAGCCCGGAAAAACCTACAACAACCCATGGATTCCGGCCATGAAAGCCTTCGACAATACAAACTTTCAAGCTATTTAAATCCACAAGCATGTGGACAATTTCAACAGAAAGGGAGAGACCATGAAAATGAACAAAATCTGGCTACCAGTATTAAAAAAAACTCTAAAATTACAACAGCAAAAAACAGCAGAGAGGAAACAACCAGGCACATCTTAACACCTCTCAACAAAAGATTTTCCCAGGCTCAGCCAGGCCTTCAAATGCTAATGAAGGTGGTCAGTTGAAACATTCACACCTAGCTCCAGCAGAGAAGAGCTCTTTGCCCCACCCCAGCCATTCCACAGATATATTGGATTGGATTACTGCAATGCGCTCTACGTGGGGCTGCCCTTGAAGACCGCTTGGAAGCTCCAACTGGTCCAACGATCAGCAGCCAGGATGCTAACTGGGGCCCTTTACAGAGGGAGGTCAACCCTCATGTTCAAGGAGCTCCACTGGCTGCCGTTTATTTTCCGAGCCCAATTCAAGGTGCAGGTGCTTACCTACAAAGCCCTGAACGGTTTGGGACCAGCCTACCTGCGTGACCGCATTTCCATCTACGAACCCACGCGTTCTCTTCGGTCATCTGGAGAGGCCCTGCTCGTGATCCCACCGGCGTCGCAAGCGCGCTTGGTGGGGACGCGGGACAGGGCCTTTTCTGTGGTGGCCCCCTCACTCTGGAACACCCTCCCCAAAGACCTTAGACAGGCCCCTACATTGGCTGTCTTCAGAAAGAACTTGAAGAC